GAGAAAACCCCAACAGACACCGAAACACAACTTGTTGTTACTCAAAATCACATGAGAATGATTTTTTTTATACCTCAGAAACATCTGTATAGAGGGATATCTACGATGAGAGTTAACCGTGGATACTGGGGAAACCCTATTTAGGTTATCACAGTTTTTGTATCCTGGGTTATTTTAAATGAAAATGTAGTGAGAACAATCAGGGACCTGGGGCAAAATGAACAGAGACTCACAACAGAGCACAACCCAACAAACGGCAGCCATCTTCAAGGGCCAGCTACATTCATTCTCCTTCTAATTTAACTGGATCCTTCTGCCTTTCTCCGCAATTGCAGCGTGCATTTCTGCCTCTAGCTGACAAGGCAACCCGTGCAAGCATCCTAAGAAACTGAAATGCACAAACCTCTGAAGGTGCAAAGCCACATCTGAGTGCAGAGACATAGCCCAGACCTGGATACAATCAGCTCCATTCCTAGAATGGAAAACAGACTTTCTTGTAGAACCATTTTGAGAATATAGCTCCTACCAACATTCTGGTCCAAATCCTCCGCATACATACAGTAGTAATTTCATGAGTTCTGCTGAAGAAAACATGATTACTGACACGCATACAGCAGCAGACTTACAATATATCTTAAAAAGGCCAGTATATATATATATATATTTTGGAAAGGAGGGGAGTGAAACAAGCACATGACAAATTCTTTTGAATGAGAGTACATGCTGAAGTCCATGGACACAGTACCTTCCCTCCAGGAGCGTGGTTCACTGCATGCAGCTGTGGTGAGTCAGGTCTTAAGCTTTTGCTTCAAAGCCTTTTTTTGGGGGGGCAGATCCTCTTTGCATAGAGAGACACTAAGCATCTGCAGACAGGGATCTACCAGGTACCTCAGAAGCAAAATGATTTTCAGCATCTCACATTCAATTCAGCCACAAAGCAGTCTACTATATTTCATGTAGAAAGCAGAGCAAAACACGTCCATACTGTTGCCTAACTGGGTTGGCCAGCTTTTAATTACTACATATCTCCTAAAGAAGCTGGAGCCAGATATTTCAGAGATGCTTTCCAGTCAGAGGGCAACAGTCCACTTTTCACCATGAAGAAAAACGAGCAATTAAGCCAGGAAAAAATCATCACATCATTGGACATGATCCCAGGAGGTGGATGATAGCCTTAAATGATGCGACTCATATTGGCGGCCTGTGAAACCATACCAAAGAAATTATTTGGTTATTAAAAACACTGAGCAAAAGCAACCACCCTCTGGACTTAGTTGCTGGCTCTAATCAAATATACGCTCGTGCACATCCCTTATCACCTAGCCACACACTCTAAAACCTGAAAGAACAAAACTAATAAGCACTAATAATCAACTCAAACTTGCTCTTGGTAAGCCTCTCTCACTTTTTACTTATACTTCTCCACTTAAAAAGGTATCACTTAAAGAAATCAACCTCCCTCTCCCCTCCTGCCAACAAGCACTGTTAACAGAAGACACATAAAATATTACAGCTATCATTATTGTCCTTGTACGAGCCAGCCATCCTGAATTGCTTCCCTTCCCTACAGCAATATAGCTGAACGGTTACAGCCAAGAGAAGAGCAAGGAGCAGGCTCTACTATTAGTTACGCTAGTGCAGATGCCAGCAGAAGCTGAGCCTGTCGTTCCATTGGGGGAATTATTGTTACAACCAATTTGTCTCGTGGTCAGGGTGCAGGTTCATTTTTCTGAGCACCGTGGAACAAACAACACTTGCTCACAGCCTCTTCACAACGGCAGGACATAGAAGTTGTACAGGACAGCGGAACACTTGAACCTCAGAACACCTCTGAATGATGAGTGAGGCAATTCAGGTGCACAGACGCTGAAAGACATCAGGTGTCCTAGCGCACGGTGAGAATGAGAGTCTTAAATGTAAATGGATTTAACTTCTCCACTCTACAGCCAGGCAGGTTCATCTGCATTGCTTTCATTGCACAGAGAAACAACAGCGTAGACAAAGAAAGCGCCTGTTTTTAAGGGTATCTTTGGCACTTCAGCCTGAACCCATCCTATCCGATCTCAGGCACTTGATTGCAACTCTTAAATAGTGCCTATTTGGCAAAACAAATCTCCTCTAAAGATATCCATCACCCTCCAATGACTACAGCACTCCAGACAACATTCACCTCAGCTACGTGTCAGTGGTTTGATGGCAGAATTTCATCCCCAGCTTCCCCAGAGTTGCTGCTTCCTACCGACAAGAGCTCAGCCAGGCGGCCGTGCCAGCACTGCCTGGAGCCAGGACTGCTCCGGCTGCAGCCACCTGCTGCAGGCTCCTGCACAGGGCAGTCACACAGCAGCATCCATTTGTTATTCAACAAATGCAGTGATTACACTCACATAGCTAAGTCATCTCCAGATAAGGCACTGAATGTATAAATTCTAACAATGAAAGGTAGTCCCAGACACACCTACACAGTCTTGTTCTTACCTGCATCACCCAAAGAGCCTTTCTAGGAACTTAAACTTGGTGGAGGACCTCCCATCCCTATGAGCACAGACTCAGGCAGCAAGCACAGAATAATAATTTGCATTAAAAGTGTACACAAGAAACTGTATAATCAGCACCAACACAGATACCTTTGATTATCTTTGGTAGCACAGGCAGCAAGCAGAACAGAAAGAAACAGGAATACCTGCACACTTCCCCCTGATCTAGACATGAAAATTTAACAAAGCGTTCTGTGCATATGCTTTTTTATTTAGTACTAATTAAGCAAGGTTAATTCAAGATCTCTCTTGATATTCTCAACCACTGTGAAGCATCTTCATTGACTGCACAACAGTTTACAAAGCACTGCCAAGCTTCAGCGATCAAAATCTTGACTGTGTTTTTCCCAGCATCACGGCACTGCCTCAAAAATCACAAAGTGAATAAAAATCCCATAAATAATAACTACATTAATCACTTGAGGATGGTGTTCGCCCTTCTGGGGAGGAACTGAGTTCTGATCTTTGCAATGCAGGGTCATATTTGGTTAACATTTTCAACTTTTCTCTGGATCAAGAAAGTGATAGTCTTAACCTTTTCTTTCATATTTTTTTTTTTTTTTTTTTAATGAAAGCTGAGATTTGCCTGAAGTAATGAGGTTACAGCAACCAGACCTGTTCTGCTGGCAGGGTTTTTCTTAGTTGCTAGATGGTGGGGCTGCAGCAGAGCAACCCAACTATTTCACTGGCACCTGTTCAATTTGCTGCTGTTTTGCAATACAATCAACAACTGTGTTATAGCCTGTGTGTGCTAAAGCAACCAGTGTCCCACTGCTGATTGTTGGGGTTTTGGCATGGACAGTTATTTTTCTTTGTATTGTTTCATTGTACAATGCCGCATTTTGGATTTCTTATAAAACAGCAGTGACAATGTGCCAACGTTTCAATGCTTGCAGAGAGCCAAGGACTTTCCCACTTCTTATGCAACCCTGCCAGCAGCTCCTTGTGCACAAGAAGATGGGAGCAGAACCCTCCCTAGGATAGGGAGTCCTGCAGAAGGCTGCAGACCTGCACATGCATCGCCATGAAATGAACTCACAGCAAGCACACTCACAAGCGACCTTCAAAGAACCCTTTACTGAGCAGTTTTGCTCTTCCTCCCCACACTCCAAGTTTACGCCCTTCTGACAAGCAGAAAATACAAACCTTCTGTCATTCCAGTGCAAACTTCATGAAATTAAGTTGTTTATACAGCCAAAGGTTAAATTCACACTCTTTCCTGCTGACTTCACTACTTTTGAAGTTCAGTTGCAAAAATCCCTCTCCCACATCGAACAAAAACTCTGCAGCACCACCTTGGATTACTCAGGAGGCTCAAGAAGGTATTGTGTGTGTTCCTCTCAAAAAGCTCGTATCTACTAAAAAAAAAAAAAAAAAAAAAAAAAAACAACCAAGACATTCATTCCCTATACACACATCTACAGGGGCAGGATAGAGGGACAAAGTTACTGCAGACACTCCCTATTTCAAAGAAAACATTGTGCCCCTCCCTACCAGCCTGGGCAACTTACCATTTCTCAAAGCACAGCTGCTCTCATTACGGTTCCCCTCTTTCATCAGCTCAAGAACATGCTTGCACTAATGAACTTCTAATAGAAATGTGCATCCACCTCCTTAATTTTTCACATTCTCTCATCAAGATTATTAAATGTCTTTTCAATCAAATCCACCTGAATTGTGCAGAGATCTAGAGCATGTGGAGCTCAAGAAAACTTGCCCTGAAGTCTGGATTTGCAATCCCAGTCAGATTCTCTCACCAGAGTGTGCAGTTTATTGAGTTGAGAACAGACAAAGGCACAAGCATCACTGCACATCCTGCTCAGGAAACATCCTAACTACAGAAAACATCGATATCAGGAAAAAACAATCAACGAGATGAACAAAAGAAGAATTCAGAGCCAAGACCAGAAAAAGCAGCTGCATCTGTTCCTCTTTTGTCACATCACCTTGCGCATCCCGATGGTCTGATCCCATTATCGATGCAATACAAAGGAGAAAGCGAGACCCCAAAGTATAATCACTCTCTATTGCTGGGCACTTCTCAGCCTGATGAAAACACTTCTAACAAGAGAAGAGACGCAGAAGCACACCTACTGATGCAGGAGATAACACATCTCAACATCAGCATGTTCATGAAGAATTTGATTGAATAAAGGGGCTGGCAATAAACTACGCGAGCAATAGCAGATCACAGCACACACATCCACCACGCGATGTTTCTCCCCCAGAGCATCATATTTACCAAATTGGTGACACACATTAAGTGCTGCAGACTGCTGACCACACACAGCACAATGGTTCCCCTGCTGCTCATCGCTGTGCCTTCCTGAGAACAGCAGCTCCCCTGGATTCCCCAAAGCCACCACATTTCATACAAGTACCTTCCTCTGCCTTCTGCGGGAACGCAGCAGGGATACATGAACCTGTGATAGTAAAATGTAATTTGTTCAGATCTTTGCCTTCAGGGTGAACCCTGAGATGCTGCCATCAGCCAGAAAATTTGTGATCTAATTTAGAAGCAGCGAGGCATGTCTTTTCTCCGAGGCTTTCGGAATACAGAGCTGGGTTCCCCCTTTTACATGACCCAGCAATCTTATTTTATTTTCTGAAGAGCTAAACACCTTTGCTCCATAGGGGAGAGGGCTGAGACAAATTCCTGTACATTACAGAGAGCTAACAGCCAGCCACACGGCTCCATGCACCATCAGGAGACGCAGGTACTGTGGGACACTGAGTTTGGTGCTGGGGTGCTCTCAGCTTATGAGAGCCATTCTGCCTCTGGAAAGAAGGACTGGAAAGAATTTGTTTTTGTCACGGCTGCCCTGCTGTATGTTTAGCTGGCCATTCTAGAATTTTCTGCATGCTTCTTCCTTAGCTCTCTTTTCAGGAGCAGCGCAGAATAACACAGCTGTAACAAGTGATGGAAGGCTTCAGCTGCAGTGTTAATGCACAGCATCCTACCCCACCTGTTTAACCCCACCTCCTGCAGAGCACTGGACACGGGCTTACAAATCTCACAGCAGGCTGCCAGGTACCTAAAGGTCACGGGGTAGGACCGGGTGTTGGAGCTCATGAGAGCTACAACTGCTCTTGCCCTGTGCCACGTGGCCAGGCTCTGTGTACCCCAGCGCACAGGGACGAACAGCCCAGGGCGAGGGACCTAGAAGAGGACAATCAAGTTGGGCACATCCCACGCCCTCAGCAGATCCCACGGGAAACTTTTCCCCTCTCCAGAACGTTCACAGCTGAGCTGACGCAAGGCGCCTCGGCTCCCTTCGTCCGTTCCAAAGGCACCAAAAAACCGGAGTTTCACCTAAAAGCGTTGCAATTCTTCCTCTCTTCCCCAGGATTTTCCCGCAGAGAGCCAGGACCAAACCTAAGACGCAGAGAAGAATCCTTTGCTTTGTTCACAGCAACAGGAACGCGCTACCGAGAGAGGAAGGGGCGTGACGCCAACCCTGCAGCTCGCTCCTCCGGAGCGCCGCGCGGAGCAGCAGCAGCAGGCGGGGGCCGGGCGCCACCTGGCGGCAGCCGCAGCACGAGGCCCGCCTGCTGGGATGGTTTATTTCGCGCCCTTTTTTTCCCCTGTGCTCAGCCCGCTCCTAGCCGCCATCACCGTCCCACAGGGCCGCACGCTGCCTGGCCGACAGATCTCCAGCTCTTGTGCCCTTGAGCCTCGAAGCACTCAAAAGCACCGCTACCCTCTCAGCACCTCCAAATCTATCTCCTCACCTTTGCCATAGAACGGTGGACGGGAGAAGGGAAAGCCTCCTTTAGTCTGCAGCCCCCTGCATCCTGCTCGAACCCTCCTCCGCTACCGGCTCCACCTGGGGATAAGCGGCCAGAAAAAAAGCCCCATAAGACCGCTTTTACAGCCTCGGCATCCGCCACACAGCCTGCAGCCATCTCACCGCGCCCGCAGACCGCATCTCTGGGTGAGAGGAACAAACAAATAACAACGAATTACCAACTCCTCTCACCGAGCTTCTGCCTCCCCAGCAGCGCTCTCGCTCTGAAGAGCTCCTCAACTGCCAGAGCCCGAATGTTCTGATGAGAAATCTCCCCCAGCTGCGGGCGCTGACGGCCCCTCACCCCGCACCTGTGCCAGGAGGCAACAGCACGGGCTGGTGCTGCGCGAGGCGCTTGATGATTGCAAGCAGAAAGCCCATCACTGGCTTTGGCAAGCAGGATTTCGCTGCTAGAACTTAGCATCTGGGGCAGTCGAGGCTCCTTGGGTTGTTTGGAAGGAACTTCATCTGCTGGCTGAAGCGCTTTCCCTGATAACATCCAAGGCAGCGGGCTGGGACCGGCTCATTGAGCCCCATCGGCTGCAGGCTGGTCGGCTCAGGCATAGGGTTGGTTTTGGACGTTGAGGCATTAATGCTGTCTGCAAGCCCAGCCAACAGATGGAGGAGAGCTGGGCGATACCCATTCCTTCTTCCAAATGGACCTCCAGAAAGCTCTGGAGTAAGAGCTGGCAGAAGAACTGCTGCAGGCATCTATGTTCAGTTCCTGCTCTGGAGCAACTAGCAATTCACAGCAGTTGGTAGTATCCTGAGAGCATCAACGTTTGCAGCCAATAATTACTGATACTGCTTTGCCATCTAAGCTGCTGAATGACTGCCGCCATCTGATACCTCCCCACTTATCCGTTAAAAAAAAAAATTATGCATGGCTTGAGCAATCACAACTCACCATCTGAGACACATTGCACTGTATCACCGTTTAAATCATAACAGTAAAGATAGTGTGAAATATACTGCTTAACCACTCGCATACCACTCAATTCCACAGGCTAAGGACATATGTAAGGTCCTAAACGGGTGTTCCTGGAGTCTTGTGACTACACAGAACTGTTGGTAGTTGAGCAGGAATGTAAAAATTCGGATTTAGTTCTCCATCATTCCCCAAAGCTCCCATAATCTGACCCCAGAGGTCCTCCTGGTAACGCAACCCAGACAATCAGACCAACTGGTCCACAAGGGAGGCATCTGTGATTCTGGATGCGTTCAGTTTCCAAACCATGCTATGGGAATACATACAATTGCCACAGGTGCTTGTGTGGAGCTCTCTGATAAACTAATTGAAAACAAGTGCAAAGTGCATTCCCTAAGGTGGCTAAAAATGGAGGGGAAAATCAGTAACCACAGCACTTCACTGCCAGCCAGGGGGGAAGAGATAAGGTGCCAAATTTGCCCAGAAGCATGAGCTGGTTGGCAGCTGGGAAGCTATCAACTGGGTTTCACAAATGCATTGTACAAACATTTACATTTCTCTGCAGACCTCATTCATATTTGTCTGTGTATTTAAGCCTTTTCACTGTAGCCAGATGAGAGCTAAGGAGATCCCAGACCACACACAGTAATGATACCACTAATTCTCCAAGCTCACAGCCCTAAAAAGATCACAGCTGGTGCATGGCTGGGGTACTCAGCATGGTTAGGGTCTAAATAACAGGTAACAGGGCTTTGCACTATGCTGTGATCAATGTTGTACACTTGAACAGCATCTTACATCAGAAGTGCTTTTTGGGCAGTGTTAGCACAATCTCAGTGCCTCCTTGAAATGTGCTAAACGATGAGTGTTTTTCCCATTTATCAGGTGTATGAGATGCAGACAAATGGGCTCACTTGCCCAAATGTCACTACACTTATCCCATCAGCAAACTCAGCACCAGCAGTGGCACCCAGCAACTCTTGAGCTCTATTACTTTTATTCTATCTGCTTTCTGCAAAGTAAGGTGACTTCTATGTTGAAATCTCCCCCAAGATGCATGACAGGGGTTCTCACCGTACAGGAGAGTCTCCATCTAAAATGTAAAATTCAAGCTTTTCAGGAAGATGAACTTCAAAACCTCAGGGAAAATACTCCAACTGTATTTTTCTTACTGTTAAGAGAAAAGCAAACTCTTCCATGAGACAGAAATGTGTAGCTGTTGTTTCCATAATGTTGAACCACTTCATTTTATCATGTCAAAACATCCTAAAACATTTGTATGCAAGAAAGTAAACAATGTCCATTTTAAAACCAAAATGCAATTAATCTACAGAAGGAAATTAGAATGATTTGTTTTGACTTTTTCCTTTCTAAATTGTCAAATCAGCAGAAACCTGAGATTTCAGCACTAACAAAACTGCATTCCCTTCAGGTACTTCTTTCAGCCTGTGTCTTAGACCAGCTCTTCATATACCAGCAGACTGACTTCAGCCCAATTAGTACCCATGGCTTGCTGGGCATCATATGGTGCCAGTCCTACTAAGCAGCTAAAATTAAAGAAACTTTCACACAGGTACAGCTCAGAAGAAATTAAAGCCCATCAAATGATCATTGTCATCTCCGTAGAATCAGCACATATGACTGAGACTGGTCACTTCAATCTAAACCATTAGAGCTGTACCAAACCACTTAATTACAAGTAATTACAGGCAGATGATTTACTGCACACCGAGAGCCTTTTAAATCAAGGAGGAAAACCGGATCCATCAGAAGCTGTCTGCTAACATTTCCCTTCCTGTGCTCACTACTACCAAAGAAACTGCAGACTGTGTTATTCGAGGCCCCAACCTCCTTTTACCTGTCATTTTCAGGTACTCCAGCTTTTCTAAAAGGGCTGAATATCTGAGGTTTTTTGATGCTGCAGGTCGTCCACAAATCATTTCCTCCAGAGAAAACAAGAAACCACTTACCTCCTGTTCATATGCCACATTTAAGAAATAAGCCATACTTCAAATACACTTATTGTCATGCTGGTTAGGGCTCACAAAAGCAGGGAGAGCAACCACCTACATTGCCATGCAGACAGAAAAGTGAGAGAAAAGAATTAAGTTCCACAAAACCACCTGCCAGTCAGCCAGGGGCAGCTGGGTTTCCTGTACATATCATACGAGTTCCCTCCTTGCTGTTGTGCTCTGTTTTGACAAGGGGAAGATCCACTCTGACACTCTGCTTTCCATCTCTCCTGCCTGAGTGTTTCCTAGCATGCCAGCCATTGCATGCACCACCTCCACTGGCTGAACCCATCCCCTGTGGTACTGCAAGATTCTCCCATCTGTCTTTCAGAAAGGCAGCAAGAGATCTCTATTAAATGTTTTAAATGTATTTACACCAAGCACTCCCACTGGCCACTGGTCTCTCTTCAGGGTTCACAGATAACCCACAAAAGCCTAGGCACATTTTCCCATTGATCAGCCCATCCTGTGAGGAACAGCATGGCCTTTTCCCACTTCAGCTTTCATATTTCAGAAGATTTCTTCCTGACTCGATCAGGTTGTGCCCTGATAGACGAGAATAGATAAATTTAGAGGAGACCATTTTATTTCAAACCACATTTTTTGTTTTCATAAACGCCTCCTGTTTAAGGCTCTAGGATGCTTGCATACTAAATAGCCTGCGCTGTTTTCACTTTGCCCGTCTTTGTATTATTTTACTTTTACAGCTGACAACTGCTTTTATACTCTGGGAACACAGTAGTGTCAAAAGCAGATTGAATTTGCTGATTGCTGGAGTTCTTTGTGCTGCTCACATGGAATTTCTTTCCCCTATAATACATCTGTTGTTTGTATATTCGATAAAGTTAATATCTGTGAAATCAGTCATTTCCCCTAGGTCTAAATTATACTGCGACAGACAGAAGATTGACTTCACTGTATTGACAGGAGAGAACTCTCAATGCTTATTATTTGTAGCGACTTGGAGAGATTACAAAAAGCACACAGAGCGGTTTTATCAGGGGAGTGTATTTCTGTAAGGGCTGATAAGGCGTGCACATTAAGAAAGGAATAGCTCATTTTTAGCCAACTTCAACTTTTAGCGAATTTTGCTGAGGAAGAACTGAAGAAATAGCAGAAATCAAAGTATCGTTCCTCTTTCTGTGCCAGTATCCTGTTTAACACTGATCTTATGTGCAATATTTATGTCTGCATAAATAATTCAGGAACTAATTAATCCAATTCTTTTATAATTACCTCTTATAATGGCATACAGCCCAAATCCCAGCAGCTTAATTGCTACTTAATGGAGATATTTATGACACCAACAGTGGTAAAGAGTATAGGCACTCTCACTTATTTCAATTAGGGATGAGGCTTAAGCTACTAAACTCTGATTTGGATTTCAGGCACCTCTGAAGTTCTGCCATTGGGAAACACACAGGTTCTTTATTTCAGAGGTGTTTTAACTCTGCTTTTTCATATGTGGCCATATATTGGGGCACAGGAGTCAGCACTCACATATTGCAAGATACTGCAGTACCACTTCTTTTTCTACGTGGACTCAGGCAGCAGGGCCTGATATCGCAAGATGCATCCGAGTTCAGCAAGTCACATCCCCTTGTTCTGTGGTTTATCTCTCCAGAGGGAAAACTGCTTTGGTTTTAGAAAGAAAGGACGGTTGGCTCATCCATTTCAGCTTAGCAGGCCTATGAATTTCCCATTTTCCCTTCAGAACAAAAAGTGAGAGAGAAACATCACGAAACGACCAAACGTTTCATGGGCCTGTCTAATTTCATAATCATCTTCTTAAATACAATTTCCAGTAAGAAGGATATTTCCAGAGCACACTTGGATACACACCGCCAGCTACACGAGCACCTCGTGATGTTGTCTCACACATCACTTAAAATAAACCTCCGTGAAAATACGTGAGCATTCCACAGAGTGCCATACAATTAAGCTTGTGGCGTCTTCCCTTTGCATACACTGCACAGCTCTCAGGGGAGCTGCAGAAATGCAGCAAAATTTCTAGGGCAAGGAAGAGCCTGGAGCAGCTCATGGAGCAGAACCTCTGCTTCAGGGATGGCCCATGCTCACAGCCTCTTCTGGGCAACACACTTTTAGGTCACTTATGTTTGGGTAGTCAGGGGAGAACGTGGCATTCCTGCCCTGGGTGGCTGAGTCAGTTTAGTTTCTTTCAGCCTCAGAAACAACCAAGCTTGGGCAGAACAAACAGCTATAGGGACGTATGCGCTTCAGGTTCCAAGGACTGCGTTTGGTTCAAGCTGAATGGATTCTCAATTCATTTAAATTAAGGGAAAGT